GTTTTTTCTTTTTTCTTTTTTTTTTTTGGGTGGGTGGGGTGGGGGATGTCATGATGTTGTGGTTTGAAGATCTATTTTGTTTTTTTTTTTCTCTAAGGAATAATGTATGACCTTTTGAAAGTATAAATAAACCTACACTAGGGACTTCCTTTCTGGTCTTGATACACCAATTTTCAAACTTACCTAAAGAGTTCATTGGAACTACTAACTTGAATGGCTGTTTTACTTGAGCTCTTTGATCACTAAACCAGATAGTCATTCTAATGGGACTCCTTCATCATGTTTGAGTTTACTATATGGTTTTGTGTTGCCTTAGACATAGTCTAAATACTTTTTGTTGGAAACTGAAAGTGAAATTTCTCAGGGCTCACAATTATGTTGATCAATTGTGAAGATGATCTTTATCTATTACTCTCTCAACGGTCAATTCTATTCTATATGACAACATTTGTCTGGTCACATAGTCTAAGATGTTTATTTGACTTATATTTTTATATTATATATAGAGAAAAAAAACTAAAGTAATGGTTGAAAAGCTAAATGAATAGTATAATGGTTTTGAATTCTTATAAAGTTGTATACATTATGTTACCTTCCTCAAAAAATATAAATTTTGTATAGATATGGAATTGTGTAAATATTCTGGGACATCCCTAAAATGGTAAGAAAGTCATAAATATTGAAGCGAAGGGACCATATGCTGAAGTTATTGGCATAATTAATATGGCTTCAACAGCCCAACCTAGTTGTAATGTACTCGTTCTGTCCCATTTGTGTGAGAAATGAGTGAAGATAGGTAGAAGACATGTGACAAGTCTTTCATTTAAGACTCTTAAGTTCTCTTTCATCTAAGACTGTTATAGATATGTATAAAGGTGCAGTACAAAAATGTCGTGCATGTTAGAACACTGAAGTTTTGACATATGCGTTGTTTGACCTAGTTTGAAAGGCTTATGGATTATTTATTGGTCACTATTTGGTTAAACAAAATGGGGTGGAAGGAGTAGGTTTACATCGATGTGATACTTGATATATGTGCATCCCAATATATGTACATCTCACTGAAAATATTCCAGTTTGTTAACAAATTAGCCGTTCCACTGATATATTTATGCTTTTAAGCTGGAGAATATGGTAAACATATTGATTGTTTACAACTACAATGACAACAACAACTATGCCTGAATCCTGAACTACTTGGGGAAAATTTATTGATTGTTTGATTACATAAATTTTTCCCGTCACTATGTAGGATGCTGCAGCATTTTGGAGTCATCAGCCATTAGCTGCAAAGGAGTATTCATCGAGTACTATAATTCCTGCTTGTACTGTTCTTGTAGATTTATCACACAGTGCAAAAGATCTTATTGAGCAAGAAGTTTCAGCATTTTATCAAACTCCTGATAATACACTTTACATGCTTCCATCAACACCCCAGGTTTGTAGATTTTCTTTTTTCGTTATTCTATAAATCTAAAAAGTATGTTTTTGGTTCAGCGAGAAGAAATTTAAAAGAGTTGTTTACACTGCTAGGTTTAAGGAACATTTGTGAAAACAGTTTTACTGTATGTTTAGAATCTGTTGCTACGCTGATTACTAATTATTTACTTCTAACTGTTTCTTTTTAATATTTATGCTTTGGAGACAAGGTGCAAATCATGCATGAAGAAATTATCAAAGTAACCAAGCTCAAGCTGGTTCCCCACTTTGAATTTGGGGGTGCATGTTAGAGTATCAAGAGAATATGCATTTAATTATATAGAATATTCTATAAGATATCTTAAGATATTCTATAGTTAAATATAGAGTATTTTCGTACCTTATTAGTATAGGGATCAATTAGCTTCCATATTATACATAGCCGAGGACTCTTATATTAGGAGCACCTCTCATACATTTTTAATTAAGTCAATGAGAGACTTTTCTATTTTAACAAGTGGTATCAATAAAGAAAGGTAGATCTTTGTCATAAATTGATGTGAGTGCTAAACTGCAAATTAAACTTGATATAATGGTCTCCCTTTGATTCTTTACCTTAAATTCTAGACCACAATTAGCTACTCCTGTTTGGACAAAGTAAACTATGTGGAGTAAAATCATGTTAATCAAGGTTAAAAACTACTATCTTTTTAGTTGAGATCACACGATGTAGCTTGAAGTTTTTCCAAAGCTAATAATCTCACTAAAGTTTTAATTTCTTAAACAATTTTTTTTTACAATTAACGTGTCAGTTTATCAACTGTAATTATCCTCTAGTAATGTGCATAGTTAATAGGTGATTAGGCACACACCATAGCATCTTAACTCGTGAAATAAAGCACCACTTAAGTGAGGCGGAGCTCAAAACCTGGCTTAAACTGAATTACACGGTTTAAGTGCTTTCCAAATAAGCTTTTATCAATTCTATGAGGGGACCTTTTCCATTTTCCTTGATATTTATTCGTTGTGACATATATCTCATCGTGAGAACTCCTACCATGAGCAATTATCAAAATATTTATTAGTAAAAGGGACATCCTACATGAGGTGATGGTATATACATACAGAAAAAATGTGTATACATTACATATGTGGATATATGTTTTTTCTTCTTTCTTTTCTGATAAGTTGTATATATATAAAAACTTGAACTAACTGTTAACTCCCAGGCACAACTCCCGAGGACATGATATAGCCTAGTTTTCACTATCTTCCTCGATCACCGGGTATCTTTTTCTTTTCCTCCTCTTTTTCTTCCTTTCATCTCTTTTCTTTCTTGCCACTGGGCTCGTTTCTTTTCCATTATGGACGACACGAACTATTTTGCAGTAGGGTTCAAATCATATGACATCACAAGAACATCAGGCACAGCAGGGGAATGGTATGACTGGAGTAGAAAGTCAATAACGAGGATATCTTTCACTGGCAAGGACATGGAATGGATATCTTCGATTATGCGAGAAGCATCCAAGGCTAAGGGGAACACAGTCAGAAGGTGGAAGAAAAAAGATGATTTCACAGAGATCTACTGCGCAAGGAATTTTAACAAATACGGAAGATACATCAGCCTGATAAATGTTAGAGGTAAAAGAAGGGCAGTCATTATAGTCCCTGAATTATCTTTTAACTCAGGATGGTCAGGTATTGCAGAGAAGATTGGAAGATTCATCCATAGTTACAAGCGTGTGGGGAATCTAGAGACACATAGACTGGTTGATAGTAATATTCCCTATGTGGATATGCTAAAGAGCAACAAATGGACTAATAAGGGGAGGAAGGACATGCCAGAAAAGATAATAAAGAGGGGGGGCAGAATCTGCATTAATAGAGATGCAAACATCCAAAGCGAGGTACTGAAGAAGAGTTTGGTGGGCGAATTTATGACTAGTAAAGGCGAGGCACCTACCTTGACAGAAGTGAGAAGATGGGCAAGTAGTTTATGGAAAAGAGTCCATGGCCTGAACATTTATGATATGGGGGAAGGTTTTTTCCTTTTCGAATTTGCATCCAAGGTAACAGCGGAACAAGTAGTCGAAGGGGA